CATAATATTTGCGGAGTACAAAGGTTTACTGTAGACGAGTTTATTCAGGGAGTTTCGAGTTGTTCCGTCGCGGCATTGTTGACTGAGCCGCCCTTCCAAGTGGAACATTCCGTCGCTATGGAGACCGAAGTGGATGGAAAATACCGGTCGTTTTTAGTGTGGTGTGAGGGACCACATTGTTATCGTACTCTGTGCGCAATGGAAGGGCGATCGCGTTTCTTAAGCGAGTTTGGGCGAGGAATGTTTGTGGGTATGCACATTGAGGGTGTATCGTTCTGTGAAATTGCGCGTCGTTTCGAGCGGTCGTTATCGGCAGTGCAACGGGCATGGCGAGAATGGTCTGAGGTAGGACATAGTCCCCGTCACACGAGGATCGCGCTCTTGTGCTCAGCGCTTTAGCGTCGTGTGTGTCCTCCTCAAGGCAACTTGGAGCTGTTTGGCCACCGGCAGGGGAAGGCGCACTCACTACGCGAATTGTATGGCGGCGTTTGGTAGATAGTGGACTGCGCGCGCGTCGTGCGATACAGCGGATTCCAGTAACACCCGAGCACCGCAGCATACGTCACGAGTGGGTCGACGCTAGGCATTAGTAGGTTGCCGAGTAGAGGGACATTTTGTTTTCCGACGAATCAAGATTCGAATTGAGCACCGGTGATGCGCGAATTTTAGTTCGTCGGAGCCGTGGTGATCGTCTACTCGAGCAGTGTGTGCAAGAACGCCCTATCCACCGACAACCGAGCATTATGGTATGGGGTGCGATTACATATGGTGGACGTACACGTCTGCTGCGTGTATAGCAGACCATGACGGGTCAACGATACGTAGATGAGGTGCTACGGTCCGTTGTGCTTCCCTACGTTCGGCGGCTCCCAGGTCTGCTATACATGCACGACAACGTACGACAGCACATCGGGCGTGTTGTACAGACCTTTGTGGAAGAGCACCGTATACGAATGCTTCCATGGCTAGCTCGGTTTCCGCATCTGAATCCGATCGAACATGTTTGGGACATGACTGGTCGGAGACTTCTACGTTATCCGGCTTCCTCGGCTAACGTTGAGGAGCTATGGAGACGAGTTGAGGTGGCATGGTTGGCCATCCCTCTCGCTACAATATAGCGACTTATAGACTCCATGCCACGTCGTGTAGCGATGGTACGCGAAGCTCACGGGGGATACTCTCGCTATTGATGTTTCTCCTCCCAGCAGAGTTGTGCCGTTCTCCATGTGAGAGTAAGTTACACTACTTTAGTACTACTTCCATACCAAATTTTATTGCGCGTTCAGATTATACAGGGTGTGCTCGTGAATTATTTCCAACATTGTATATCTAATCGTTTCAAACGACGATAATGCAACGCTGATTTTTTGCTAGACTGCTTAGCTTCTTTCACTTCTTCAATAAACTTATTATATTGTGCATTATTCATGTAAAAGTTATTCTTAGGATCCTTAGCGGACAAAGCGTTTTTGAATTCTTCATAAAAACTTGACTTAAACACCTTCCATTTTTGAAGTTAATTCGTCAAAGTAATGATAACGAACTAACCAAATGTACAACGAACGAGATCGATTTGCTCTATTATTTAATAAATACGCACAGGGATGGCGCAATAATGATGCAATACTAACCGAATGCACAACGAACACAATCGCCTTGTTTTAACGTGTTCTCTGTCGCTGGCGCCGTCCTCTTATTCCCGTAAGTGATAGCTCGAGATAGGGCCGAGACAGGCGGCAGCGAATGTGTTAACCAACTGCCACCGGTTACACCCAGGTTTAGCCGGTTAAAGTTGGAAGCGTTGAAAACTATTTGGACTTTAGCCGTAAGACCCCAGGTAATTCTCAACATTAACCGGTTAAACTTAGGTTTACCCGGAATTCGAGCTCTAGCCGTAACATATACAAGTAATAATGTAATGTAATGAAAATAGCGCAACTTCACGCTCATGTTACAACCTAATTTTTTGAAGTTTTCTAGCATCACACCCACTAACATCTTACAATTAGCAGCTTTATCATTGCCCAAGAAACCATTGACAACTGCTTTGAAGCTAGTTCACACCTCTCTTTCAATTCTCTAATCTGTGACCCAACGAATATCCCTTCTTTTATTTTAGCATCACTCAAGTTGGGATATTTATCTACAAATACTTAAAACAAGCACCATTTTTATTAAGCGCCTTTACTAACTGCTTCATTATTACTAATTTGATATGAACTGGGAGTAGTAACATCTTTTTCGCATTAATCAATGGATCTTTGAGAATGTTTGAGTCTTTTGCTTCGAGGCAAGTACGACTAGGCCAATTCTCTTTAATATAGTGCTATTCCCGATCTCTGCTATCCCATAAACATATAAAACATGGATATTTTGTAAAAACCGACTCTTGACCAAAAAGCAGTCCAGTTATTATCAAATCTCCACATATATTACGTTTGTGTTGTTTATATTATATAGCTTCAAGAATAGTTTTAAAATTGATGTATGATTCTTTTAAGTGTACCGAATGAGTAATAGGTAAGGAGGCGTATTTATTTAAATTATGCTGCACAACCGCTTTAAAACGTCTCTTAAAAAAATCAATAAACAACCTACTATTCATGGATCATACTCCTAATGCCTTTTGACCCATCAGCCTGACGTCATTTCTGTTGGAAACCCTTGAAAAAGTTCTGCAGAATTGGCTCTACATAACTTGGTTGGTAGAGTATCCAGGACGTTCCAACATAAAGAGATTTTGTTATGTGCGTTTTTGGTTATAGGTGCGTTCAACAACGCAATACCACAATCCCTTGAAAGAGCTGCTCTTGACAGGAGAGTGGAAGCAATTAAACATTTCATTCCACGGTGACACGATACGCTTCAGGCCGGGAGATGGCTGTACGCAGGGAGGGATGTTATCTCCCCTACTTTGGCCCTTCTGGTTGATGATCTGATTGCGATAGTCGAAGCCGTTGGTGTAGAAATACAAGCTTATGCTGATGACATTGTCGTTATGGTCAAAGGAACCTGTTTGTCGAGGATATCCAAAATCCTCCAGGTGATCCTACATACCATTTGCGCTTGGTTTAAGGGAGAGAATCTCTGGATAAACCGGCAAAAGACAATTGTTGTGCCCTTCACCAAGAAACGAAAGTTGTATGGACTAATACGCCCACCTATCCAAGGTGAAGAAATTCCTTTCTCAAAGGAAGTCAAAGGGAGGAGTAACCCTAGACAAAACCCTCTCATGGAATGAACATTTGCAGGGACTTTTGCACAAAGCTAGACTATCCTTGTGAACTTGTAGCCTTTGTGGAAAAAATTGGGGTCTTACTCCTGAAAGACTGTACTGGCACTATGTGACTTTGGTTAGACCTATGATCACATACGGAGCAGCAGCCTGGTATAGGAAAGTCCGACAGACTTCAGTTATCAATAAACTTTCACGAATTCAACGAGTAGCTGGATAGGCAATCTCTGGTACGACAAGCACAACGTCAACTCTAGCAATGGACATTCTGCTTAGCCAACCTCCTTTGCATTTGCATATAGAGAAAGTGGTTACAACTACCATTTACAGATTTAAGCAATATGCTCAAAACTGTTCCGACATGTCCTACCAATGGGCTGCGGAAGACATTATACAGTGCAATCAATGCCATCAGATTTGGCGGGATCACTATCAGTGATTAATGCTTGATACAAGATTGTACCGCCTGAATGGCAGTCCTGGGTCAAAAATGAAAATTCTCTGGTTCAGGTAGATAATTCCATGTTCACAGATAGATCAAAAACAGCGGAAGGGGTCGGAGCAGGAGTATACTGCCAGTCACTCTGGGGTTGCTGGCAATGAAGCGGCAGATGAGCTAGCACGAGAGGGCAGCGCTAAAGCGTTTGTGGGGCCAGAACCAGCAGTTGGTGTATCATTTGCGATGGCCAAAGATAGGATTTGACTGTGGGCTGAAGAGAGACTTCGCCTACTGTGGACCAGTTCTCCTGGAATGAGACATGCTAAGGTGTTTATTAACATCGCCACTGTCAAACCCGGGAATATTTTAGGACTTGCCCGTAGTAGCATAAAAGTTCTAATGGGTGTTTTTACTGGGCACTGCCGATTAAAAGCACACCTCAACTTGTTGGGTTTAGCCGACGATGTCAAAACCAGGAATATTTTTTGTAGGGCTTGCTCGTAGCAGCATAAAAGTTTCAATAGAACGGAGTGGAATAGAGACGATTGAACATGTTTTATGCCACTGCCCTGCTGTTAACCGTATCAGATTCTCGATTTTTGAGTTGTAGTTTATCTATTCAAAAGATATGAATGACATTTCACCGAGCATTTGTGTTAGTTAAAAGCATTGGACAACACGGTGAAATTTGATAACGATATCTATCGTGGAACAATAGATCCTTAGGATCTCGATGCAAGATTGGTTGGTCCGCCTACCCGATATGTAATCTATGTAATATAGTGTAATGTAATGGGTCATTCAACAGTCCATATTTTTGAACGAGAACACTGTTGCATCATTACAATAAACATAGCTGCCACCTTCAGAGAAGAACACAATAAATGACTTCTCTGGATGCCTATACAGAGAGATTTTTCTTTTTTAGTCGTGAACCAAGCGGTTCAGATTTATCTTTAGGTAAACTTAAATCGCTTACCAAATCATTTAGTGCAGTCTGATCATACAGAACCGACAGTAAATTAATATGATCGTGCTCATACCGCGTTCACTGTTCAACTTAAAGAGTCATAACTTATGAAGGAAAAATAGTACAACACCATTCAATAACACATTTTGAAGGACAATGATTGTATTGAAATATGTAATAGATAGAATAGAGCAAAAAAGTATTGTGCGTCCGATACATAACTTCAAAAGTGGCCAAAAAGCCATTTTTCTTGTACATAACCTCAAATATCTCAAATCCTGACGTGATGGCCCAATTCTAAGCACGGGTTATGATTTTTAGCAGAATATTACTTCGGAAATAACTTTTATTTTCAGCCGCTTAACGCTGCTCGGTTTGTAAGAACATCCCGTTGAAACCATCTATAATTACGATATGCCGCATAGTACATCTCCCATCTCTTCAAGTCCATTTTGAAAATTCACCAAATGCTCATTAAGTGAGCGATAGCTGCAAGGTGAGTCATAAAACGATCTTTACATTTTTTTATTCGATGTCTATTATCGATACATTTTCTACATCAGTTCGTGGGACTTCATCGTTTGTACATTTTATTTCGTGTTTGTTTTTTTCTGAAATCACTCTTGATCAAGTAAGGTACACTCTGGAGTTGCTCATTATTGCTATTTGGGGAGAACATCCTTTTGGGATTTATGTTATTGAACGTACTAATGTTAATTTAAAAAAATAATAATAAAAGAAAAACTTCATTTGCTACTAACAGTTTATTATATTGGTACTATTAAAAACAATTCGGATTTACACATAATAAATTGAATTAGATTTAAGGGAGTCCGACATCAAAAGTTATTATGCTGCGGCTGGATCACATCCGGCGTTATTTGGCCAGTCGCAAACATCTAAAGTGGGGTTGAAATGTAAACCAGCTGGGCAAGGCATATCGTGAACTGTGCCGAAGTTATCGCATTTGCAATATCTTCCACAATCTTGTGGATGAGGGTGGAAAACTGGGTATTCACCTGGAGTGTAGGGGCAGGTTACTGATGTGCATTGTCCACAGTCGGGAGCTTGAGTAGGTTGTGTTGGTGGGCAATCTGTGGGAGGAGTAGTGCAATCTGGGGGAGTAGTTGTGCAATCTGGGGGAGTAGTTGTGCAAGGAGGAGGAGTAGTTGTGCAAGGAGGAGGAGTAGTTGTGCAAGGAGGAGGAGTAGTTGTGCAAGGAGGAGGAGTAGTTGTGCAAGGAGGAGGAGTAGTTGTGCAAGGAGGAGGAGTAGTTGTGCAAGGAGGAGGAGTAGTTGTGCAAGGAGGAGGAGTAGTTGTGCAAGGAGGAGGAGTAGTTGTGCAAGGAGGAGGAGTAGTTGTGCAAGGAGGAGGAGTAGTTGTGCAAGGAGGAGGAGTAGTTGTGCAAGGAGGAGGAGTAGTTGGGCAATCTGTGGGAGGAGGAGTAGTTGGGCAATCTGTGGGAGGAGGAGTAGTTGTGCAAGGAGGAGGAGTAGTTGTGCAAGGAGGAGGAGTAGTTGGGCAATCTGTGGGAGGAGGAGTAGTTGGGCAATCTGTGGGAGGAGGAGTAGTTGTGCAATCTGTTGGAGGAGTAGTTGTGCAATCTGTGGGAGGAGTAGTTGGCGTTACGGGACCACATTCACATCCTGCTGCTTCTGGCCAATCACAAACGTTTAATTGGGGGTTAAAGTGTAATCCATCTGGGCAAGGCATATCGTGAATTGCGCCGTAGTTATCGCATTTACAATATCTTCCACAATCTTCAGGATGTGGATGGAAAATTGGGTATTGTCCAGGAACGTTGGGGCAAGTTAAACCCTCGCATCTGCCGCAATCAGGAACGGTAGTAGGACCACTTGTTGGTGCAGGAGTGGAACCAGGTACACATCCAGCATCATCAGGCCAATCGCAAACATTTAATGTGGGGTTGAAATGTAAACCCGATGGGCAAGGCATATCGTGAACTGCACCGTAGTTATCGCACTTACAATATCTGCAACAATTTGTAGGATGTGGGAAGAACTCTGGGAATAACCCGGGTGTGACCGGGCAAGTTACAGATGAGCATTCACCACAATCCGGGGCAGGGGTAGTAGTGGGTGGAGGGGTTGTGGGTTCGATGGAGCATCTGGCATTGCTTGGCAAATCGCAATCATTTAATTCGGTGTTGAAATGTAAGCCGTCTGGGCAGGTGGTAAGTACTTTAGATCCCCAGACACAATAATAAAACTTGGTGCAATCCCCACTATCACGCAATTTATCTACATAGGCATTTACAGTACTTGGACATGTGCCGCGGGGTTCAGCGCCAATTCCAATAACACCCAATAATAATAGAACAGCTACAATTGCTGTGTACAAAAATTGATTATTAAAAAAAATAATTCCTATTATTAAAATTGTTCTCACCTTTCATTGTTGAAGTTGATTGTTAAACAACTGGTAAACTCTGATGTGACTGTAAAATTGGAACAACTTATATACCACAATTTTTTATCTCATAATTGGATCAATTATGTAATCTATATCCGGTTTTGAAATTATTAATAAGAATTTTTCAAAATTACCGAAAAGTTCCACATATAAGAATCTTTAGAAATTAACTGAAAATTGTGTCTAATTTACTGACCACATATTAACTTAACCAAATTATAACATCTATTATAATTTTTAAATATTTAAATTTTGTTATACTCTTTTTAATAAAACCTTAATTTTAAGTTATCTCCGTTTTATCAGTTCATTGATCAAACTTTTGAAGAGTACAAGTTATTTAATTAAAATCGGACGTAGGAAGCAATATAGAGGTGTCCTTTATAATTAGGTTTCTGAATATATTTAGGTCTCCCTTAATTTTTGTAGAAGAATAATAATTAAAAATGAAAATTTAAAAAAAATCAAACAGGTGAAAATTAAAATTAATATGTTTTGAGGGATCATTACAATATTACATCAATTAATGACAAGAAAAAAAATTCGGGAATTGTTGAAACAGCATGTATATTAAATAATCTTGATTTATAGATCTTGTTGAATTGTAATAAATTCCAAAATTTACAAGTACAGAACATTAAAATGATAAAGCGCTTTCAAGGAATTTAATTTGATGACACAATTTCCTGCTGTTAACAATAGACCGGCTGAAGTGGTGTGTATAATGTATACAAGTAATAATGTAATGTAATAAGTAATAAGTATGTACACGTGCAAGTAACATATATATTTTTGCGTGGTATCAGAATCCGCGCTCAGAATTGGACCATCACGTCAGGATTTTTACGTCGTGCTTTTTTGGCGTACTTTTTTTTTTAAGTTATGATTGGACGAACAATATTATTTTGCTGTATTCTATCGATTTACTCATATTGTACTATCCGTATTATTTAAAATGCGCTCTCGCATGGTGCAGTATGATTTTTCCATTACAAATTATGGCCATTTTAAAATGACGTAATGAGTGGAACCCAGCATATGGATCAGTACTGTCAGATGCGGGGGACACGCCAGACCGAATTTTGTATTGTATTTAACTTTTATGGAATGTATGTAATTTATGGAACAATGTGGACCATTTTACCTGATACCGTCTTTCCATTTCTTTTATATCTTAATGGAAATGCTCCCCTTGATAATCGCTGACATCACCTAAATTGTCATAAAACCAATGGAAATAAGAATGCAAATAGTGCAACTTCACGCTCATGTTACAACCTAATTTTTTGAAGTTTTCTAGCATCACACCCACTAGCATCCTACAATTAGCAGCTTTATCATTGCCCAGGAAGCCATTGAGAACTGCTTTGAAGCTAGTTCACACATCTCTTTCAATTCTCTAATCTGTGACCCAACGAATACCCCTTCTTTTATTTTAGCATCACTCAAGTTGGGATATTTATCTACGAATACTTAAAACAAGCACCATTTTTATTAAGTGCCTTTACTAACTGCTTCATTATAACTAATTTGATATGAACTGGGAGTAGTAACATCTTTTTCGTATCAATCAATGGATCTTTGAGAATGTTTGAGTCTTTTGCTTCGAGACAAGTACGATTAGGCCAATTCTCTTTAATATAGTGCTATTCCCGATCTCTGCTATCCCATAAACATATAAAACATGGATATTTTGTAAAAACCGACTCTTGTCCAAAAAGCAGTCCAGTTATTTTCAAATCCCCACATATATTCCGTTTGTGTTGTTTATATTATATTGCTTCAAGAATAGTTTTAAAATTGTTGTATGATTCTTTTCAGTGCATGGAATGAGTAATAGGTAAAGAGGTGTATTTATTGAAATTATGCTGCACAACTGCTTTAAAACTTCTCTTAAAGGAATCAATAAACAACCTACTATTTATGGATCATACTCCTAATGCCTTTTGACCCATCACCCTTGAAAAAATTCTGGAACGGTATACTTATCCGTACGGTGCCACTGGTATCTGGTCCACTGAGTCGCCACCAGTATGCTTATCAAGCAAGAAAATCAGCAGAATTGGCTCTACATAACATGGTTGGTAGAGTATCCAGGACGCTCCAACATAAAGAGATTTTGTTATGTGCGTTTTTGGATATAGAAGGTGCGTTCAACAACGCAAAACCACAATCCCTTGAAAGAGCTGCTCTTGACAGGAGAGTGGAAGCAATTAAACGTCTCATTCCACGGTGACACGATACGCTTCAGGCCGGGAGGTGGCTGTCCGCAGGGAGGGGTGTTATCTCCCCCAATTTGCTCCCTTCTGGTTGATGATCTGATTGCGATAGTCGAAGCTGTTGGTGTAGAAATACAAGCTTATGCTAATGACATTGTCGTTATGGTCAAAGGAACCTGTTTGTCGAGGATATCCAAAGTCCTCCAGGTGATCCTACATACCATTTGCGCTTAGTGTTAGGGAGGGAATCTCTCGATAAACCGGCAAAGGACAATTGTTGTGCCCTTCACCAAGAGACGAAAGTTGTATGGACTAATCCGCCCACCTATCCAAGGTGAAGAAATTCATTTCTCAAATGAAGTCAAATATCTAGGAGTAACCCTAGACAAAACCGTTTCATGGAATCAACGTTTGCAGGGAGCTTTGCACAAAGCTAGACTATCCTTGTGAACCTGTCGCAGTATTTGTGGAAAAAATTGGGGTCTTACTCCTGAAAGACTGTACTGGCTCTATGTGACTGTGGTTAGACCTATGATCACATACGGAGCAGCAGTCTGGTATAGGAAAGTCCGAAAGACTTCAGTTATCAGTAAACTTTCACGAATTCAACGAGTAGCTGGATTGGCAATTCCTGGTGCGGCAAGCACAACGCCAACTCTAACAATGGATGTTCTGCTTGGCCTATCTCCTTTGCATTTGCATGTAGAGAAAGTGGCTAGAACTACCATTTACAGATTTAAACAATATGCTCAAAACTGTTCCGACAGGTTCTACCACTAGGCTGCGGAAGACATTATACTGTGCAATCAATGCCGTCAGAGTTGGCAGGATCACTATCAGTGATTAATGCTTGATATCACATTGTACTGCCTGAACGGCAGTCTTGGATCAAAAATGAAAATTCTCTGGTTCAGGCAGATAATTGCATATTAGATGTAGAAGCATCCATATCACCGTTTGAATTATAGTATTTGGAAATTAAACTACTTATACTACGATGATTGTTTATTTGTTAAAATGTCTTTACCGGTTTCGGCACGTTGCCGTCTTCAGAAGACTTCTACAAAAGAACAGAAACAAAATGTATAATATGAATTACCTACAAGATAATAACAACGTGTGGTTAGAATTTTAAACGATTTTTCTTAGGTTAAGTAAATTAAAAAGTTGTTATTCTTAAATAATATCTAAAATCTTAAAACCAGCAAAATAAAAACTTACGTCAGGTTCTCTACTATTAATTGACAGAATAAAGAACCTACCTGATAACTATAAAATCCTGTCTTTTGACATTAAAAATTTATACACCAGCGTACCAGTTGCAGAGACTCTTAATATATTGGAAGATTTTCTCCGAGGAACCACCATAGAGACCAAAGATGTTACCAATGTCATGACCTTACTCAAGCAAAGCACACGCCAGAACTTTTGCCAGTTCAATAATGTTTTTTATAAATACAACGACGGATTGCCCATGGGTTTACCATTGAGTGGTATACTTGCCGATGTGTTCCTCAATAAGATAGAAAAGGAACAAATAATAAACGACAAGAACCCGTACCTGAAAAACATAATGCTCTGGACGAGGTATGTTGATGATATTTTAGTTTTCATTAATGACAACACTATCATACATATCGAGCCATTACATACCCAGGACACATATCCTACAGACTCCAAAAGATTTTCAAACAATTTGACATTAACCTTACTTTCAGAATCAAACATAACATAAAGAACCTGCTAGTGAATAATAAGGACAAAACTGATTTAATGCAGAAAAGTGGTGTGTACCAACTACAATGCGGTTCCTGTGAAGCTACTTACATCGGCGAAACGGGGAGAAATCTAGGACAACGTATAAAAGAACATAAAACCAAAAAAAATTCAAAGTTTGGAACACACATCATTTTCAATAAGCATGACTTTCCAAGAAAATAACAACACCATTCTACTACACCATTTGAGTAAAGGCCCACATATGGAACTACTAGAGACCTACGAAATTAATAAGTTTATTGCTACAAAACCAAACATCACATTACTCAACGAACAATTAACACAACTGAAACCACCCCTCTATAGCTGCCTGAAGGACCCTTTTTTAAGAAATTCCAAAAAACAGGAGAAAAACCATTAAATGCTCCCTACAAATCGACAGATTGAAGTTGGGCACTTCAATGCTGCAATTGTAGGGAGAAAAGCCTTAATGCCCATAGAGCCTTTTCCTTTTCTCATTTTAAATATGTTGTTTTCGATTGTCTTATATTTTATAGCATTTAATTTGTTCGTAGAATTGTATAACGTAGACGTCGAACTATTATTGTCGCTAATGCAGTTTCCCTCTCATGATACTTAACCTTTTCACACACATCCTTTCGCGCCAATAATTAATGTCCGTTGGTGTTAATCTTGTTCTTCAATAAATTGATAATCCGCAAAAATCACAACCTATGTTTGAAATAAATTGTTTTTCGACATTGTAGAGAACCTGACGTAAGTTTTTATTTTGCTGGTTTTACGATTTTAGATATTATTTAAGAATAACAACTTTTTAATTTATTTAACCTACGAAAAATCGTTTGAAATTCTAACCACACGTTGTTATTATCTTGTAGGTAATTCATATTATACATTTTGTTTCTGTTCTTTTATAGAAGTCTTCTGAAGACGGCAATGTGCCGAAACCGGTAAAGACATTTTAACAAATAAACAATCATTGTAGTATAAGTAGTTTAATTTCCAAATAAGATAATTGCATGTCCACAGATGGATCAAAAACGGCGGAAGGGGTCGGAGCAGGAGTATACTGCCAGACACCTCGAATTAAGCAAGCTTACAGCCTAGGTACGTACTGTACTGTATTCCAGGCGGAAGTATTTGCTATTGATGTGGTTGCTAAAATCCTTCTTGAGAGAGGGGTGAAGAACATGACAGTACGATTTTTCTCAGACCGTCAAGTTGCTCTCCAGGCGTTGCAAGCTGTGGAAACGGTGTCGGCTCTGCTTAATGACTGCAACAGAACATTGAACACACTGAGTTGTGATAACAGAGTTTCTCTGATCTGGGTCCCAGGTCACTCTGGGGTTGCTGGCAATGAAGCGGCAGATGAGCTAGCACGAGAGGGCAGCGCTAAAGCATTTGTGGGGCCAGAACCAGCAGTTAGTGTATCATTTGCGATGGCCAAAGATAGGATTGGACTGTGGGCTGAAGAGAGACTGCGCCTACTGTGGACCAGTTCTCCTGGAATGAGACATGCTAAGGTGTTTATTAACATCGCAACTGTCAAAACCGCGAACATTTTTAGTAGGACTTTACTGGGCACTGCCGATTAAAAGCACACCTCAACTTGTTGGGTCTAGCCGACGATGTTGAATGTCGACTATCTGCTGAGGAAGCGGAGACGGTTGAGCATGTTTTATGCCACTGCCTTCTGTTAACCGTATCAGATTCTCGATTTTTGAGTCGTAATTGATCTATTCAAAGGATTTGAATGACCTTTCACCGAGATTTATGTTAGTTAAAAGCATTGGACAACGCGGTGAAATTTGATAACGATATCTATCGGGACACAATAGATCCTTAGGATCTCGATCCAAGGTTGATTGGTCCGCCTACCCAATATGTAATCTATGTAATATAGTGTAATGTAATGGGTCATTCAACAGTCCATATTTTTGAACGAGAACACTGTTGCATCATTACAATAAACACAGCTGCCACCTGCAGAGAAGAACACAATAAATGACTTCTCTGGATATCTATACAGAGAGATTCTTCTCTTTTAGTCGTGAATCAAGCGGTTCAGATTTATCTTTAGGTAAACTTAAATCGCTTACCAAGTCATTTAGTGCAGTCTGATCATACTGAACCGGCAGTAAATTAATATCATCGTGCTCATACCGCGTTCACTGTTCAACTTAAAGAGTCATAACTTATGAAGGAAAAATAGTACAACACCATTCAATAACACATTTTGAAGGACAATGATTGTACTGAAATATGTAATAGATAGAATAGAGCAAAAAAGTATTGTGCGTCCGATACATAACTTCAAAAGTGGCCAAAAAGCCATTTTTCTTGTACATAACCTCAAATATCTCAAATCCTGACGTGATGGCCCAATTCTAAGCACGGGTTATGATTTTTAGCAGAATATTACTTCGGAAATAACTTTTATTTTCAGCCGCTTAACGCTGCTCGGTTTGTAAGAACATCCCGTTGAAACCATCTATAATTACGATATGCCGCTTAGTACATCTCCCATCTCTTCAAGTCCCTTTTGAAAATTCACCAAATGCTCATTAAGTGGGCGATAGCTGCAAGGTGAGTCATAAAACAATCTTTACATTTCTTTATTCGATGTCTATTGTCAATACATTTTCTACATCAGTTCGTTTGACTTCATCGTTTGTACATTTTATTTCGTGTTTGTTTTTTTTTCTAAAATCACTCTTGATCAAGTAAGGTACACTCGGGAGTTGCTCATTGTTGCTATTTGCGGAGAACATAAGACGCTTGTCTTTGACTAATTTTGACTATTATCCTTTTGGGATTTATGTTATTGAACGTACTAATGTTAATTTAAAAATAATAATAAAAGAAAAACTTCATTTTCTACAAGCAGTTTATTATATTGATACTATTAAATACAGTTCGGATATACACATAATAAATTGAATTAGATTTAAGGGAGTCCGACATCAAAAGTTATCATACTGCGGCTGGATCACATCCGGCGTTATTTGGCCAGTCGCAAACATCTAAAGTGGGGTTGAAATGTAAACCAGCTGGGCAAGGCATATCGTGAACTGTGCCGTACTTATCGCATTTGCAATATCTTCCACATTCTTCTGGATGAGGGTGGAAAACTGGGATTTCACCTGGAGTGTAGGGACAGGTTACTGATGTGCACTGTCCACAGTCGGGAGCTTGAGTAGGTTGTGTTGGTGGGCAATCTGTGGGAGGAGGAGTAGTTGGGCAATCTGTGGGAGGAGGAGTAGTTGGGCAATCTGTCGGAGGAGGAGTAGTTGGGCAATCTGTGGGAGGAGGAGTAGTTGGGCAATCTGTGGGAGGAGGAGTAGTTGGGCAATCTGTGGGAGGAGGAGTAGTTGGGCAATCTGTGGGAGGAGGAGTAGTTGGGCAATCTGTGGGAGGAGGAGTAGTTGGGCAATCTGTGGGAGGAGGAGTAGTTGGGCAATCTGTGGGAGGAGGAGTAGTTGGGCAATCTGTGGGAGGAGGAGTAGTTGTGCAATCTGTTGGAGGAGTAGTTGTGCAATCTGTGGGAGGAGTAGTTGGCGTTACGGGACCACATTCACATCCTGCTGCTTCTGGCCAATCACAAACGTTTAATTGGGGGTTAAAGTGTAATCCATCTGGGCAAGGCATATCGTGAATTGCGCCGTAGTTATCGCATTTACAATATCTTCCACAATCTTCAGGATGTGGATGGAAAATTGGGTATTGTCCAGGAACGTTGGGGCAAGTTAAACCCTCGCATCTGCCGCAATCAGGAACGGTAGTAGGACCACTTGTTGGTGCAGGAGTGGAACCAGGTTCACATCCAGCATCACTAGGCCAATCGCAAACATTTAATATGGAGTTGAAATGTAAACCGGATGGGCAAGACATATCGTGAACTGCAGCGTAGTTATCGCACATACAATATCTGCCACAATTTGTAGGATGTGGGAAGAACTCTGGGAATAACCCGGGTGTGACCGGGCAAGTTACAGATGAGCATTCGCCACAATCCGGGGCAGGGGTAGTAGTGGGTGGAGGGGTTGTGGGTTCGATGGAGCATCTGGCATTGCTTGGCAAATCGCAAATATTTAATTCGGTGTTGAAATGTAAGCCGTCTGGGCAGGTCATAAGTACATTAGATCCCCAGACACAATAATAAAACTTGGTGCAATCCCCACTATCACGCAAGGTATCTACATAGGCATTTACAGTACTTGGACATGTGCCGCGGGGTTCAGCGCCAATTCCAATAACACCCAATAATAATAGAACAGCTTCAATTGCTGTGAACAAAAATTGATTATTAAAAACAATAATTCCTATTATTAAAATTGTTCTCACCTTTCATTGTTGAAGTTGATTGTTAAACAACTGGTAAACTCTGATGTGACTGTAAAATTGGAAGAACTTATATACCACAATTTTTTATCTCATAATTGGGTCAATTATGTAATCTATATCCGGTTTTGATATAATTAATAAGTATTTTTAAAAATTGCCGAAAGGATCCATATCTAAAAATGTTAGAAATTAACTGAAAACTGTATTAACAATATTAACTGATAACACTATTTCCTGCTGTTATTAATAGACCGGCTGAAGTGGTGTGTAATAAGTTACCCATATGTATACGTGCAAGTGATAGATATTAAGTTACTAATTAGGTTGTAGAGAGTTGTTCGTGTGTAGTAATATAAAAGATTTGAATGTTATATTTATTGTGGTGGTAAAATCACAAAACTAAAAACGTAGAATTTGCAAAGGAAGCACATTCCTATTTTATAAAACAATTAAAGTTAATGTGGTAATGTAATGAATTGTGCTTATTGGACAATTATTACAAATTGTGAAACTAGATATTAAGTAGTCATTAATTATTGTTAAGTCAACATGTAAACATCGTACCAATTAATAAAATATAATAAATATTATACTTTGAGTTTCATATAAAACACTTCTAAAATTCATAAATAAAGAGGGTTTATTACAAATTATTTAGTATATAAATCAAATTCCTTTGATACTTTTGATACCTTTTCATACTTAAAATACTTAATAATAATATTTCATACTTAATAATCATATTTATAACTTACAAAGAACGTATCAGAACTGTCATCCCACCGATTTCGTTGCAATATATATATTTTTTTTATACGTGCTAATAAAGAATTATATAATAGAATTATATATACGCCCCAGGGGCGTGTTATAAGGGAAATCGGGGTGAACGGTGTATATTCGCTTGTAGCTTAAAGACAAAAACAGCTATCGAAATGTGGTAAATATAAACTTGTATTCATTTTTAAGAAGCTTTTAAGAAAAGTACCCTGTCGATTTTGGCGACATTAAGTACCCTTATAATACATTTAAAAATATTAATTACGTGTTTTTTAACATACACTTTTGAACAATATTTTGAAAAAAATCGTAATTTAAAATTAATACAATAAAATAAGCTCTTAACATTCAGGGTTGGTTGGGGTTAACTACCCTAACCACCCCAAAATTAATTTTATTCGATTTTGTCGATTTCGTTTCAATTTAGCACGATGATTTTTTTATATGTTAGGTAGTAGTTTTGAAAAAACATATAAGGGTTAGAAATATGAGGTAGAAAATAATAATTAATTAATAATAATTTACAAACATCTTGAATATAAATTTAATTTTTCTTACTTAAAAGAACTTTCTCTACATGTTTAATTTATACCCACGCACAAAATAAAAAGTTATTTTCACTAATCTTGTTGAGATTACAACATATTTTCGGATGAAAACCTTGTTTCTTAGGCTATCGATGCAGAACGATGTGTTCCTTTTAAAAAAATAAAGTTGGTGGCAAGAAATCTGAAAATATTTTAGACGAAGAGATCGTAATTGATAATACTTAAGTCTGAATTCTCAAATTTTTATTTTCGCCAGAACCCCAGAAACGTCTAATGACCGGTCTCGCTGAGACACCCTGTATAACTAACCAGAATATGACTCTCTTTATTTATGAAATTGAAGATTTATGTCTCAAAGCTGAAGAAATTTTGGTTTAAAAAATAAAATCGTTAATGTTAGGCTCAGAGAAGATGTTTTATTGATTTATTTATTGATCACCTTATTTAATATAATATAACAAAAAGATAAAATAAAATCCCCGACAAAAAACAACAACGAAATACTTGACTATAATAAAAACTACTATAATACGAGTGTTTGAGAGCAAATTACATTTAAAACCTGATTACGAAGATTAACTTGTTTCCTTATTCATGATTTTCCTCGTCCATAGCCAACACGAAATATACAAAAATAATACTCCAAATCAGAAACTTTTTCGTTATTGATCGACACAGCTTCGATATATACAATTTTATTATTGCGCTGCGTCTTCTTCACTCGATGTAAATATCTTCTATCGGGTATGCAGTCTCTATAAACTTCTGATAGAACCTTTGAAAGGCACGCCTGGGAAAACCGCAATTTCATTTTAGTAGCTAACTCGTTAAATCATTCATTGATAATTACCCAACTCCTTCAGCAACTGGTCTTGTTGAGTCATTTCCTCTAAATACATGGCAGGCGAACCTTTGAAGTGTTGGATGTTTGGTGATAAAACCCAAATAACGATGGTCTCGAGGGTGAAAAGCGCAGAATGACACATTTTTTAATGAGTAAAAGTAATCTATGCAAGGTTCGTTTTGCTGAAAATTAAAATTTTGTTAAAAATTTGGTGGTGAATAAAAATGAATTATTACGTTTCGTTTTCTTCTATCGACCATGCGAAGTCCTTGATCGGAAACTTCGAGGATACATGGTTGAGAATCCGGATCGCCTCCGCTGGCACTTACCACTCTTCGCACGGCTTGACAAACTACAGCAGTTCCTTTATGAGCTAATGTTTCAACCGAACCTAAATAACCCAACAAATAACGTTCTCGTCTTCCATGTTCGCAAGTCGAATCCCAATCGGAATAATCACAGTCCACAGCATAAGCTGAAGGAAAAATTCCTGTTCTTCCAGTTCTTAAATTAACACCTGAGAAAATTTATATTTAAAATATTTTGACTCGTTGCTGAAAGATGATTTTTTATTACCTTCACACCATAAATCGTCGGCTTCTTTTTGAACATAAATAGGATCGCCAATTTCAACTTCAATCTCATCTTCGTGTCTTGGTATAAATTTATGAAGTCCCCTGTGAGTAGCTTCCAGCATTTCCACGTCGGAATAGGGCGTTCCTCCACCCATACAAGCTGGGGACATCCCCAAAACTGGCGACATAGATTTTGGTCCATCCGTAGGAGAATGAGCAGTACTATGGCCACTGTCAGCGTCAGTTAGGAGCCTTTCTGAGTCTGGGGAATCGTTATCCCAGAGATGACTGCATTTTAAAACCAACAATGAATTAAGAGCGCTGCTCGAGCCCCCTAATTCGTCAGCCAAAGATAGTTCTCTTGAGAGTTGTGCGTTGTACATTGTAACTACTGCAGCTGGAAATAATTAAATAAATTTAATTTCTAATATTAATTAAGTATTTAGTTGGATTACATTTTTTATTTTTGGGGATTTCTGGTAATTTCCTCCTTCTTCTCTCACCAGGTCCTCGCCAAGGTGCCAACGGAACTCTAGACATTTGCACCTGACATCCATGATTGTCCTCAGATTCTGGTCCAGATACTTTTGGTTTTCCATCTGGTACTATATCACAGTCTGTGTCCGGATCGCTTTTGGAAGACGTCGGAGACTCTTCTTCAATGTTCACATCATGCACCAAACTTAACAAAATAATTTAAATCTGCATTGTAAACTTATAGGGTGATTGGTGTAATATGGGCGTGTTTTATTATTATGAAATGATTATTGATTATGAAACAAAACGGGCTTTTAAAAGAATAGATATTACTTACGAGTAAAATGGAACAGGAACTTTGATATGAGAAGGTAGTTTTTCAAAAGTATGCCTGAATTCCTCGAACTCCGTGTCTGCCATCTTATTTTTCTACCGAGGGGTGGTATTGATTCGATGCTCGGTCAGCTAATGCCGACGCCGACGCTCTAAAATCCACTTCTCTTGTACTTTTAGGGATTTTAGACCAATTGATCTAATTCTATCATTTGCCAGTTTAAATATATTTCTATTTTGACCGAAACCCACGTGATTCTAAAAATCCATTAGTGTTTTGTAAGTTTATGTTACAAATTATTTCTAAGATAGCAATTTAAGTATCGATCGCAATTATTTCATTTTTTTTTGTAATGAAGTAGAAAAAATTCTTTGGTTTGATTAAAATAATTCTTTAATCATACAGTTGCGTTAGAATTCCGAAACTCATGTAATTTAATGACTTTGAAAATGTTATCATGATTCATTGATGAATATTTTCAACCAATTCAGATGTCAAAAGAGTTTGATAAATTGATCAAGGATCATTTTGCTTTATTTGTTTGAAGAAGAGAATTGTACTGATATCGGCAATTCTATGCTCTTGAAGAATCTGATTTGGAGAATATCTGATTTTAACAAGATTAAGCGATGGCTAAAGGAAGTGTTTATATTAGCGATGAGAGATATGTTAGAATAATTTAGTTGATAATTATTTTGATCAACGTTTATTTTATAATAAATATTTAGATTACGACAATTTATATGCGGTAAGCATTTATGTTGTTAGTTTTTATGATTTTGACATATACAGGGTGTTCCGGTGACTCGGGGCATAAAATTAACCTCATATACTAGAGCAAAAATGATGACGATTCGTGAAAAAAAATTAGGCATATATTAAGATTAGCTGTCCCTCTTAAAAATCGATGAATTTTTTTTTAATCGGTAGGAAATGACTCAAAAGATGTGTTACTTTAAAGTTGTGATTTGACGTTTCTTTTTGGAAGTTAAAAGCAATGTTAAAATTGCATTTTCGTATTAAATTCTAACCAGAAATTGTTTAATTTATACCCACGCACAAAATAAAAAGTTATTTTCACTAAACTTGTTGAGATTACAACATATTTTCGGATGAAAACCTTGTTTCTTAGGCTATCGATGCAGAATTAAGGTGGTCCCACACGACTGGTGTAATTGGCAAGTACGCAAATATTTGTGTAAACATTGGCCTTACATTGTTAATTCACGTGTAACATAAAAAATACCTATAACAATGTGAGCTCCCAGACGCTACGCAAGTGTATCCGAGTAGACGAATATATATAGACGGTTCTTTATCGGATGGATACTCATTTGCGATTTCCTCCAGGTCCCGTTGCTCAGCTGGCTTCATAGGGTCGTACTTACATAATCGCAGCTATTCGATAAAATTCTTCGCTGTGCACGATTTGTGGAAAATATACATATCTGGCAAGATTCCCTGGGAGATGACTTTTAGTACGACCAGATGTTGACATACTACTCTTTGCATGACGCCAGGTGGATTCGATGGATTTGTAACTTTAAATATGCAAAAAAGTTGCCTTTTCGAAACGATACAACCTTACAGCACCTTCCATCCAGCATCCAAAAAGTTCTGAGCAAACAAATTTTAGGGACACCCTGTATAGTATGGTTGCCGCCGCCCGATCAAGGTCAAAATTGGAAAATATTTAGAAAAATGTGTTAAAATTTCTGAACTTTAATGGCACATATCTTGGCCATTTGAAGACTTTTATAATAATTTTTTTTCACGAATCGTCATCATTTTTGCTCTTAATTTTATGCCCCGAGTCACAGGAACGCCCTGTATAAGATCCTGTTCAAAATTGGCAAAAATAAAATTCCCGCTAAAGCCATAAAGTTGTTTAATTAATCAAGAAACTCCATCAAGATCAACTCAAAGTTTTTGTCGAAAAATTAGGTTTAGATCAATTAATCTAGGTTAGGTTTAAAATTGATCGTGCTAAAATGAAACATGAATTTTATCTTGCGAATTACTTCACAAACTACTCAGGAATGGTTTCCAACGTTGCCAATATGTTTGGCATCCCTTAAAACTTTCCCCAAGTTGTGAAAATCGTTATCTCGACATGATTTGAAAATTAAAAAATTGTGGTTTCTAAATTTCTGCAGAGTAAAAAAATTTAAGAAATTTAAGTCTTTATATTTATGATTCATAATAATTTTAGCAACAACCTCGTCAATGCACTTCGGCGTATTTAAACAATACTAAGAACTTAAGAAAAAGAAATTATTACAACTAAAGTACCTAACCTTTACCTCAAGGAAGAGATTAAAGTCTAAAATCAACACGGATAGTTTGCCGTATTGATTTTCTTTTGGTAAGAATGGAGGTCAATGCTATAAATTGTTTTAAACTTTAATTTGAAATTTAAGACCCATAAAACAGGAGTTTTCATCTTACATTATTTATATTTCGACATGTACATACAACAATAAAAACAGAAATTGCATTTAGATCAAAAAGAATTTTTTGTTTTTCTTCAAGTTCGTTCGATTTCTTTTATATTGATATACTTTAAAGTTTAATAAATAAATTAGGTTATGCATAATAAATTGAATCCAATAAAGCTTTATTATTCTTATAACTTATCTAATAAACCAGCCACGATTTAAAATTAGCAACCTCCTTTAAAGACCGATAATAAACTAATTTCGAGAATGTGAGGGTGGAGCTTTGAAAAGCAATCGCCGTCGTCTGTTCAAAGTTAACTCAGTTAACCGTAAAATATGGTGAGACGGCCAACAGATACGCTCACGTTCAGTGTTTCAAGTTCGGTATACAGAAACATAATCGGGTTTTAATTAGCGCTACCAGAGATAACCCAATTTAGAAGCTAGCGCCGTCTGAGATAAAGCTTTCCTGCGAAATCGAGATTCAAGCTCGTAACAAAAGTTCCCTTCAATCTCCCACTCCTTAGCTAGCACTTTTTCGACTTTACCGAAGCAAAAGCTGTGTAAACACAAATGAAACTAATTGCAACTTCGAGAAAGAAAAGACTCCTTTTTTTTAAGATCTCATCAATTACAGTTATTGATTAATAATTATATAATTAAATTTGAAAGTTCTGCTCGACATACTCGAGATATTACAATAAGCTATACGGACCATGAAATTATCTCGACTTATAGGAATCGTAAATCATCGTCCGTTTTCATCCTTTCGTATCTTGATGGAAAATGTAGGCGATTGGAGTGCTGAAAATGTATGGATGGTGTACTCGGGTGGAGTAATTGAAACCGTTCGTTCTATTCCCCCACAGCCTGTTGAATAAACCAAAGGATCTATTCCACCCGCACGTTTACTAAACACTTTCCTCCAGAGGAAACTTTTCCGATAAATAAAGCAACTCCATCTCTTTTATTTCCTTCCTTGTTTATTTCATCAATTTTTATTCGAAATTTTCGTTTATTAGAGATTAAATTTTATTAGGTGATGTTAAACTCGGTTTTCAACAAAAGCGAAACAGTCTTCAGATCGAATTTTTAAGAGAGGAATTTTCTGTAGAATAGAGAATCGCAGTAAACCGTGATTCTGCCAATCAGCCTCTTGGGGGATGCGCATTCGGGGACGAAGTAGACGTATAAGAACCGGTGGAACCTCTTTAATGCCATTAGAAAGGCTGCGAACGCTTCTTGCAACACGTCCTAACTAATAAAGTCGAAAAGAAAATTTCTCCAAGATCATGAGTGGTTCTGGAAAACCACTCCTCGGGTTATGGCTTTACAGAAGTGGTGAAGATTGGACTATTAAAGAAGATTGTCCGATTACAAGTGTTAAGGTAAGTAAAAAAATTTAGTTTGATTAAAATAATTTTTTTTAGGTTGCAGATGAAACCCCTCAAACGGAAATCGTGGAGCGCATCTCGATTATATTTACTTTAAAAAATCAAATTGGAGGGTTAGTAAGAGCTTTGCAAGCATTTCAAGATCTTGGTATTAACGTTCTTCACATCGAATCCCGACCGTCGCTAAACGACGGCTCTCAAACAGATTTTTTAGTCGACATCGAATGCGATAAAAAAAAATTAGAACAAGCCAGCATTCTTTTAAAACGCGAAGTTTTAACGATGGTCATTGGTACTTTTGGTGGGGACGAATTCATCCCCCCAACGCCACTTTCCGCAACTGTTAGCTTCGATTTCGATGATACGCCGTGGTTTCCTAAAAAAATTTCCGATTTGGATATGGCCCAACACGTTTTAATGTATGGTACTGAATTGGACGCTGATCATCCGGGATTTAAAGATCCCATTTATAGAAAGAGAAGAGAACAATTTGCTAAAATTGCTTCTAATTATAAACAGTAAAAATTAAATAATTTTAAATCTTATTACTAAATTAAGTCGTTATTTTTAGTGGTCAACCAATTCCTAAAGTTCAATACACCCCCGAAGAAACTAAAACTTGGGGAAACGTTTTTCGAGAACTCCAAGTACTTTATCAAAAACACGCTTGCAAGGAATACTTAGAAAATTGGCCCCAACTCGTAAAATATTGCGGTTACCGCGAAGATAACATCCCTCAACTTCAAGATATTAACGTCTTTTTAAAAAGAAAAACTGGATTTCAACTACGACCAGTCGCTGGATATTTAAGCCCTCGAGATTTTCTTTCAGGGTTGGCTTTTCGCGTTTTTCATTGCACCCAGTACATTAGACACTCTTCAGATCCTTTTTACACCCCAGAACCGTAATATTTATCTATTTTAATTTCTATATCAAAACAATTTGTTTTTAGAGATTGTTGCCATGAACTTTTGGGACATATGCCGCTTTTGGCGAATCCGAGTTTTGCCCAATTCTCTCAAGAACTCGGTTTGGCGTCTTTAGGCGCTTGCGATGATGATGTTAATAAATTAGCCACGGTACGGATTGTTTTGATTATATTTTTATAATAAAAAAAATTTTTTAGTTGTACTTTTTTACCGTTGAATTTGGACTTTGTAAACAAGACGGGGATTTGAGAGTTTACGGAGCGGGTCTTCTCAGTTCAATAGCTGAGTTAAAACATGTTATAGCGACACCGCAAAAAATAAAACGATTTGACCCCGATGTAACTTGTAAAGAGGAGTGTATTATAACGTCTTATCAAAATTCTTATTGGTACACCGATTCGTTCGAAGAGGCTAAAGAAAAAATGAGGTTAATAAAAAGAAATTTATTAATAAAAAAATTATATACATAATTTTTTTTAAGGAAATTCGCTGAAACGATACAAAAACCGTTTGGAGTTCGTTATAACCCATACACTCAAAGTGTTGATATTTTGAGTAACGCGCAGAATTTAACAGCTTTAGTTTCGGAATTAAGAGGCGATTTGTGCATCGTTAATAGCGCTTTAAAGAAAATTAGCGCAAGAGATAATAATGTTGATATCAATAAGATATCAAGTTTACTTCGAACTGGGTTAAATGATGAAGAAAATGTCCAATCAAATTTATCTGACGTTTAAATCTTATGGATGATGCAAATTTATTATATTTCAACCAAAGTATACTTAAAGTAATAATTAATGTATATAAATCCATATAAATAAAGCATTAAAAAGAACCTATAAAAGTGTCTACATTTTAATTTGGTGCTGAATAATAACTAAAACTGGAAAGATTTGGGTTTAATGATCTTAAAAGACAATCAGATGTGATTTTCTGATTCTAATTTTACAGAAAACTAAAGATAAGATTCCTCGGGCTTCCTCGGGCATTTACTTTTAGCCGCTTTTTGTAATAAATTTTCCCAGCTTTCTCAAGTACCATGATTTTGCCATTTATACTTAAGCTCCTTGTGATATACACTAAAAGATAAATAAATTAAGTTTATTTAATTAATTCAAATTTATTTATTTAATTTTGATTGTGTATTACTTATTTCCAATTATTTTTATAAATATTAATATTTAAATAAATAAAAGTTAAGGTTTAAAACATAACCTTTTTTGACAACTAATTTATCAGCGAATTTCTGACGTTGTTACCAACCTTGAAACTCAAAAATCGTCAATTTATAAAATAATTGATAATTTTTCATTAAAATTACTTATTTTGTACTTTTTAAGAGGTTTATGTTTCCTTATTAAAGAAAATTATTGGTTTATTGGTTAGAAAATCAGTTGAATACTACCTTACCTTCGTGAGGTTGGTAATGGAAATGATTAAATGTCACTAAGTTTAAATAAATTTTTTTTTAATAATTTTAATTTAAATTAATTACATTTTATACCACAATTATATTCATTTTTTGTTTTAAATTGTTTAATTAATTATTTCTATGTTAATTGGGTTGCAACATAATCTCAAAACTTATTGTGACTTTCTCAGATTTAGTGCTTTTAATTTTTTTTAGATTGGTACCTCCGTCATAAACAACACATTTGAGGTTATATCGTTTTTATTTTCAAGAATAATTAATAATTTCCAATGAAAATAAGTGGACAACAAAATAAATGGACCGTAGACAAGTTAAAAAAAAACAGGAATGATTAAAACAACCGGTATAACTCAAAAATTTCTAGTTTTAAATTTATTTAGACCTTAAAAGTGATATAACCTAAAAATATGATTATCCCAGTACGTTTTTGATCCTCGTTTTCGACTCCATGGGTAATAATCGCCTTAACAATCGCCCGACAACAGTAAATATCTCTTTGAACTTAATGTTCTGAACGCAGGGAATAAAATTGGTAGCAAAACTGGTATATCAACACACACTTATTTCTCACTGCAGTTCTAAACTTATTTTATTGTAAAAGTATTCCTTTTGGAACTAGAAAATCTACCTATGCACCTGTACAAGTGATCCTAGAAAAATTATTTATCCAAGATTGGAGATTGCAAAACTAAATAAAAAGATTTAAAATTTGTGTGATAAAGTTAGGTTATGTTAATTGTCAGTTTGGCATTCTTTGTAAAATGTGTGTGCTTTTATATCAACAGTAGAATAATTAGTCAAATTTTTTTAATGAAAATAAAATAACCTTTTACTGAACAATTATATGTGTATATATGTCATTGATTGGGACTTCAAACCCCTTGGTTCTACCAATTGCGCCTGGTTAGGTTCCACTTAATTGTACTGTAACATTAAACAAGGCATCTTTGCTTATTCAAAATGATGTCAAATATTTGGGTATTCACCTGATTTGAAAAAAACGTATACGTAAGCAATTATTATATTTAATAATAATAATAATAACGTTTATTGCCTCAAAAACAAATATTTACATAAATATATACATTCATAACAAATATAAACATCAAGGCAAACGGATCAATTTATCGCAATAAGCGATATCTTCCAAGAGACCCAATAGACCCTGGTAACAGTGTATATGTAAAGCACGTTGGTAGATGCAAGGATTTTATTAATAATATTCTGCCTAGTTATGTTACCAACCACCACAGGAGGATGCGCAAAATACTCCGCTAGAGCGGCAGCATCAAGAGTGGGTATATCTGTGGGAGACTCTATAATACCAAGTGGTAGCATTGTTTTCCAAAATGTCTTATGAGTTGGTCCAGACCAAGGTTTATATATAAAAGGTTGTCTAGGTTCGTACGCAACCATACTGCGCATTACGTCACATGTGAAAAATAATACCCCCAAGCAATTCAAATTAAACAAATGCATGGAGCACCACATGGCCATGAGGTTGCGTGCGCAATCCGTGATTTTACGTCACGAAACACTCCTGCTCTTGCCCCTCGCCCACAAACTAAAATCAAAGTATTGCAGCATAGGAACTTAGACAACCTTTAATATATAAACCTTGGATCCAGACAACCTCTGACAGTAGTGCAATCTTTTTGCGTTTTTGCATCGATGATTACAACGGTTGCGCAGCACACGATAATGTCAATAAGAAAGATCTAATCTCATCATTCAGCCAAGGTGCCGGCATGTGTCTACCTCTCCGCCGCCTCTCCGGAGCGTACTCCGGAGGTCAAGAACCTTGGAATTAAAGTACTCCACCTTAGCATCTATGTCAGGCAATCGGTAAAGTGGCTGCAATCAATTTCGCTCTCATCAGACATCAATAACCTGCAATCTATACTTTAGAGATCGCGGTGGATCACAGAGAAGCAGCCTGACGTCGTAACTGACCCTGTGTAAGAATATTGTCCGGACGAGACGTGATAAAAAGATCAAGGAGAGTATGAGAGGATGACGAGCGGTGAATCAGCAGAGAGAGTAAGATCGATAGATAGTGACGAAGTTATAAATTGTAATTTTCCACAACGTGCATCATTTTTCAATAAGCAGGTGTATTTCTAGGAGATATAAAATTTTGATTGAGTTTTAAAGCACCAAAAAAATATACAATGTTGCTAAAAGAATTACATTCATATCTTTTTTTTTTTCATAGAATTATTTAACAATAATTTTATTTAAAACAAACTAAATTGAAAATCACGTTCAAGACCAATTAACGTGCTCACACAACTTTTTCCTTGATATTCGGAAATACCTGTTAGAATCATTAAAATTACTAAGCAACTATGCAAAAAAAAAATAAGAAAACTCTTCTTGCTGAGTCAACTAAAAGAAAGAGATATTTTTTCTGTTTTATTTCACTAATATCTTTTTAATGGCACACAAATCATTTTTAATCCAACCGCAATGTGTAAATCACATGTAGTTTTAAGAAATACTTGAGTCGTCTGGACATTAACCAATATTAAATATGTATCAACAAATACACATAGCTGCTAAGAATTTATGTTTATATTTCTACATGTATATAAACTAATCTGAATAAAATTACAAAAGAGAGCAAATAAGGGTATTGCAAGTTTATATCTTTAAAAGGACAACACTCATAAAGTTTTGAGTCACACCCGCTTTTCAAGGAGGGAATTAATCGCCTTTAAACTTAAAAGTTTGCAAAAAGAAGCCCGCATTATTGCTCAAGGCGGGTGTTGGCATATATAAAAGATGATAATTTTTTCAATGTTCCCGCAGAAGTCAGTTTAACGACGGAAACCAAACGAATTGGTTTATTATCGGCTTCTTTTTGTATAACATTTAAATAACAAGTTTGAGATAAAAGAAATTTAAGGATAATGAAGCGAATATTAACGTTTTGTTTTCTAACGTGTCTACTTTTAGTCGGAGTTATTTGCAGATCAGTGCAACCTAATACCAAACACCAAATTCGTCTCAACGCTGTGAGTAATTTTTTAAAAAATTAATTGAAATAGTGATTGAGTTTAAAACAAATTGTTCTTAATGATAAGCTGGAACCACTTAAATAAAGAGATTTTGTTAATTGGGTTGTGAAAACAATAGAAATAGTTGACCCTGAGTTAAATATTTTTAAAAGTTATGTGTTTTGATTTCATCATTAAATAATAAAAATATTTTTTAAATTAATTTTATTTTTTATTTCCAGTTAGAATTTATGAAAAAATTTGGATACTTACAACCGGATACTGAATCATCAGCGGCTTTATATACAGACGAAAGTTTATCAAACGCACTTAAAGAGGTTCAAAAATTTGGTGCTATTCCACAAACTGGAAAATTAGATGAAGAAACTATAAAGGTACAAAATTATTTCTTATAAATAATAAAAATAAATTAATTTTTACTCATTTTTAGTTAATGTCGAAACCAAGATGTGGCCTCCCAGATAAAGATTCGCACCAACGCGCTAAAAGATTTACTTTAGGTCCAACTTCTTGGAAAAAGCGCAACATAACTTTCTTGTATGAACAACAAACTCTTTTTGAACCCTTTAATAATTATTTTTATTCTTTTTAGTGTTGCAAACGCTCCTTATAGTTTGGGGGAAGAGAAGGTAGCCCAAGATATTCAAACTGCTTTAGATTTATGGGGCAGATACTCTAATCTTAATTTTAAAAGACATGGAAGTCCTGATGCTGATATTATTGTTTCTTTTGCAAGTGGATATCATTCTGACTAGTAATATTATATCTTATTGTATAATTTAATTAATTCATTATTTTTAATTTATGTATTAATAACATTTTTTTTCCTTTTATTAACATTAATTATTAAAAATCATTTTTTAGCTTACCTTTTGATGGTCCAGGTGGTGTTTTAGCCCACGCTTATTTCCCCCAAACATATGGAAGTTTATCTGGAGATGTTCATTTTGACGCGGATGAAAATTGGACTCAAGATGATACGGATGATGGTACACAAACTTAAAAAAAATTTAGATCGTTTTAACAATCCTCATTTATAGGTCACCACTTCTTAGCAGTTGCTGTCCACGAATTAGGACATTCCTTAGGTTTATCTCATTCCCCAGATGAAAATTCAGTAATGTTTAGTTATTATAAAAGTCGTGGTAATTCTATAGCTTTAGGATATGATGATGTTTTAGCTATGTATGAGTTATACAGTAAGTTTTTTATGAATTAATTTTATAATTTTAATTTATAAAAATCTTGTAGTAAAACGAGATCCATTTGAAAATGATAGGGAAGTGGAGAAACACGAATCTAAAGATAGATATAATAGTTATGACGAAAAAGAGAAAAGTGATGAAGAAACGACTACCTCAACTACTTCAACTACAACTTCAAAACCTACAACAACGAGTAACGAAAGTGCTGAAAAAGAATATCGAACAACTACAGAGACTTATTATACATTCGAAGGAGATACGGAATCCGTAGAAACCCATAAAAACCATGACCAATTTCATGGGATTCCCCCGAAAATGCCCGATATTTGCCAAGGAAATTTCGATGCCGTTGCAACTTTAAGAAATGAATTATTTGTATTTAAAGACAAGGTAAATAATTAATATTATTAAAATAATTTAAAAAAAATACTTATATCATAGTTTTTATGGAGATTAATTGATAAATCCGAACTATTCCCTGGTTATCCAATTCCAATACGACAAATGTTCCCGTTACCGGAAGAAATTAATAAAGTTGATGCAGCATACGAACGCCCGGATGGAAATATAGTTATATTTGCAGGTATTATTTTTTTTTTCATCAACCCAACTCTTTTTTTATTTAAAATTTTTAGGTAAATCTTACTGGATTTTTAATGGTGGTACATTTATCGAAGGAAGTCCGCTTCCTTTAACCACTTATGGTCTACCCGATTATTTAGATAAAATAGACGCGGTTCAAACGTGGTCGAAAAATAGTAAAACTTACTTATACCGCGGTGATAGATTCTGGAGATATAACGAAACGAGTAAAACCATAGACGAAGGTTACCCAAAACACATGGAAGCGTGGCCAGGAGTTCCCCAAGATTTAGACGCGGCAAATACGTGGAAAGACAACGTCACATATTTTTTTAAAGGAAAATCTTATTGGAGATTCGACAACAATTGGGTTAAAACGACCGATTTATCACCACTTCCGGCACCGCAAATTTGGTTGGGATGTCCCAAAGAAGAAGATTTACTTGCTTAATCAATGAGTTCATTTTCGGTGGTTTTTATTGTTTATAAATTTATGTAATAATTTAAGATATACAGGGTGTCTCAGCGAGACCGGTCATTAGACGTTTCTAAGGTTCTGGCCAAAATAAAAATTTGAGAATTCAGATTTAAGTATTATCAATTACGTTCTCTTGGACTAAAATATTTTACTTCCGGTTATACCGGAAGTCGCAACCTACTTTATTTTTTTAAATGGAACATCCTGTATATTTTTACATATTTGGATTTGTCTGTTTTCAAGGTTTATAAATAACTTTACTTTTTGCAATTTGATTTGGTAACTCTAACTTTGATAACTCGTTCTCGAGTTATGCGAATTTTTCTAGAAAAATCTGCTCCAGCGGACATTTGTTCAAAAAATCATAGAACACTCGATTTTTGAGATATCAATTTAGGATTCAGAACATGCTTAAACAACATGATGGAGTATGTTTTGCTGCCGAGAACGGCTGTCTAGATCGTTTGGTCACTTTACTATGACACGTTAACTTTTCGAAATTTGAAAGCACCATAACTTCATTTTTTTAAATGGAACCCCCCATATTTTATTACTTAGTCGTCTTCGGCGTCTCATTTTACATCTTTTATATTCCATATGTCCTATGCCTAACATTAATAGTTTGAGAAATAA